CAGGCTTAATTTCACTAGTAATCAGAAATTAATATATTTTTGTTTGGCAAAAGTGATTCACAATTACTGATATTATTATATAAGGAAATAGACACTGTCATATACAACTGATAGATGTATGAAGTACTATAATTTGTTTTGGGGAATAACTTAGTAGTATCAGAAATTAAAAGTACATATTATGGCCTAGAAAACCCACTTGCAAGCATATCCCCTTCAGAAATACCACCGCTGGTTTTAATGGTGACATTTCAGGGTGTCCACAGCGGACCAACCACTAGACTCTCATGTTTCACAGGAACACAGTGTGGTGGCTTTAAAGATTGAATATATGGGGGCCGGGGAGATGGCTCAGTAGAGTAAGTGCTTCCCTGGCAAGCGCAAGGGCCTGAGTTCAATCCCTGGTTCTGCCAAAAAAAAAAAAAAAAAAAAAAAAGACAGAATAAAGATTGAATATAATGAGTGTTCACACCTTTTATAATAACTATGCTACATATAAACAGAAAATAAAAAAAAGATTTCCAATATTTATATCAACTAACTTAAACTTTTATTGCAAAATTGGGCTCCTGGAGCTAAAATTCTGGAATAAGAATGTAGTAGGTATATGATTTATTTTGTGTGTGGGGGTCAAATCTAGGGCCTCTGCATGGAGTTACATCCCTGGCTCTTTTTATTTTTATTTTTATTTTTTTTGTTTTGAGACAGGGTCTCACTAAATCACTAAGTTTCCCAGGCAGGGCTTGAATTTGTGATCCTCCTGAGTAAGGGCTATTATAGGGGTACACATATCACTGTCTGTAGTTTTCTAGGGTCATCTGAAAAGATGGGTATGAAAGAATGGCGGAAATGACTTTTATGGAACTAATTTTCAAAGTGGTTGCTTACACTTTTTGAGAAAATAAAAGCCTCTAGAAAATCATAGCTGGCTTATAACAAATACTATATATTTGGACTTTTACAAATAATGAAATCATTCCTTTCTATTAATTGAGCAAAGATCAACTTGCTGTCACCTGTGTATTTTGCTGTTCTCTGTGGCCTTTCCAAGTCAATATACATGGATCTGTAAAATCTTTCAGGGATAGGGACGTATGAGTTCTCCTCGATCAGATGTACCACTCTCTTCTGATTACATGGGCCTCTAAGTAGGAAGGGACAACATTTTTACGTCTCATCTTAACTAGCAGCTTACATTTAAGATGGAATGATGAATATATTACCAGATGGATACAAATATTGTCATCGTTAGTTTTTGAGTATAAAGTATTTTAAAACGATTTAACGAGGGGCTGAAACAGGATGATCACAAGTTTGAGTCAGTCTTGGCAAACCAGCAACTTCACAAGACGCTGTCTCAAAAAAAAAAAAAAAAAGAAAGAAAAAGAAAATGCTGGAGATGATCAGTGCAAAACATAAACGGAATCCCTGGCCCTAGGAAAGAAACTTAACTATATTCTTGCAAGTTAATAATCAGCTGAGAAACAGGCTTGTGTACTAGATATTAAATAAGTACGATGAAAATCAGGACCAGAAGCTTTACAATACAACTGAAACAAAACCTAGGGGTAATTACACATATTTTATCCTGTTTAAGGTTACCTTGTTATCACCTGTTATTCCTTTCTCATAATGAGCCAAAGCATTTGCATAATCTCCCCTGAAAGAGAAAAATCAGAGTCAATTTTAATGCATATTTAAGTATATACATTTGCAAAGTGTAGAAGAGAATCTTTGCTGCACAGTTCCTGAAGTTCACAGGAGGTGTGAGTCCAGCCTGGATGGAAGCATTCCTTCAGAGTGCAACTCAGCATTTTGCAGCTACAAAAGTAGTAAACTGGAATATGATTTTTTTTTTTTTTTTTTTTTTTTGTACTGGAGATCGAACTCAGGACCTTGGGCTTGCCAGGCAGGTACTTATGCTGCTGAGCTATCACCCCAGCCACTGGAATATGCTACTCTGTAAGTACCTACTTGTGATATGATCGGTGCTGGGAGGGAATGATGGCAAACCTTATGGATCATTTTTAATTAATCACTTCCTCAGGAGCACTAAGTGACAGTCATGTGACCCCCTAAAAACCAATTTCTATTCCTCAGAGGCCCAGTGTTTATAAGAAGCTATGTTGCTGGGTGTGGTGGCAGACACCTATAAACTTCCAGTACTTGGGGAAGCTGAGGTCTTTGAGGGGGCCTGGAATAGAAGAAGGTATCAAACCATGTGCTGTTTTTTTCTTTTTTAATCAAACCCTTTATTAATGAAAAGCAAGAACACAGGGCTGTTGTACTGCAGATTCATTAACCAGAAAAGCATAACTAAGACTTTCTAGAGAGAAATTTCTCAGTAGGTAAATACTTAAAGATTCACCTTGAAGTTATTAAAAAAATAATTACTTTTGTATATACACAGAGAAGCTTATTTCTACGTCTAATGTAATCTTGGAATTCTTGGTGGGTGGAAACTGAGACTT